TCGTTGGTTAAGGGATCATCCTCCTCAACAGATCATCGGAGATATTCAATCTGGTGTTCGCACAAGGAGTGCCCAACAGAATCTAGAAGCTATGCTTGCTTGTTTCATCTCACAAGTAGAACCAAAGAATATTGAAGAAGCTCTAGCTGATTCTGATTGGATCAATGCAATGCAAGAAGAACTCAACCAGTTTTCCAGAAATGATGTCTGGAAACTTGTTCCCAGACCTACTCATCAACATGTCATTGGGACAAAGTGGGTCTTCCGGAACAAGATGGATGAGAACGGCGTTGTTGTCAGAAACAAGGCCCGGTTAGTTGCTAAAGGATATTGTCAAGAAGAAGGTATAGATTTTGATGAAACCTTCGCTCCAGTTGCAAGACTTGAAGCTATAAGGCTGTTTCTAGCCTTTGCTACTCATAAGGACTTCAAAGTCTATCAAATGGACGTCAAAAGCGCATTTCTCAACGGAAACCTAGAGGAAGAAGTGTATGTAGAACAACCTCCAGGATTTGAGTTACACACTAAGGGAGATCAGGTGTATAGACTCAAGAAGGCACTATATGGACTCAAACAAGCACCAAGAGCTTGGTATGATACATTGTCTCAATTTCTTATAGACAATGGATTTACCAAAGGAGTAATTGACAAGACATTATTCAAGCTACAAGATGGAGAAGATCTCCTATTAGTTCAGATCTATGTGGACGATATCATATTTGGCTCAACGAAGGAAAATTTGAGATGAGCATGATGGGGGAACTCAACTACTTCCTTTGCCTTCAAATCAAACAGAGAAGTGAAGGCACTCTCATCAATCAAGCTAAATATACAAGGGATCTTATCAAGAAGTTCAATGTTGATCAGAAGTCATCCGTTTCTGTCCCCATGAGCACATCCACCAAACTTGATATGGATGTAGACGGAAAGGATGTAGTTCAAACTCTCTACAGAGGGATTGTCGGATCTCTACTTTACCTTACTGCAAGCCGTCCGGATATCTCATATGCAGTAGGTGTTTGTGCCAGATTCCAGTCAAAGCCAAAGGAAAGCCATCTGATAGCAGCTAAAAGGATTCTTAGATACCTCAAAGGAACTCAGAACATGGGTTTGTGGTATGCTAAGAGCAATTCATTTGAGTTAGTGGGATACTCAGTTTCTGACTTTGCCGGATGCAAAGTTGACCGGAAAAGTACATCTGGTACTTGTCAATTCATTGGTGGAAATCTTGTTTCTTGGTTCAGTAAGAAACAAAACTCCATTTCTACATCTACAGCAGAAGCAGAGTACATTGCAGCTGGTAGTTGTTGTGCTCAAGTTTTGTGGCTAAAGCAACAACTACTGGACTATGGAGTCAA